GTAGGATTTCTAATACCTCGTAGAACTCTCTTCGCAGTTGGACACAATTTAACGCCACAGAATTAAGCACACCCTCTAGCTTTACAAACTTAAGCAGGAATGCGTCAACAAGACTTCGGAGAATATGGGTTCCTTCATCATAGTTATCAACCAGACGATCCTTGATCCAATGTCGTATGAGTGAGACTCTTTCGATATTCTCTCCCTTGGGATACCATGTACAAAGCTTAATGCAGCGTCTTGTTTTATTGTTCATACGTTCCCATATGAATGTTAATGCGTTAACCAGGACATTATCTATACCTTTTATCTGATATGGAGGTATCATGGTCAACCTTTGTACAGCAAGTTCCCACAAGTTGACATCATCAGTAACTTTCTTTAGAGACCTGGCAATTAGAATGATGGCAATTAGATTGCCACGGCACTCTTTCACCATACATGCAGCTCTCTGTTGGATACTAGGTGAAAGCAAAACTCCACCCACAATCGTGCAAAACAATTATCATGACAACAAATGATCCTCCATTCTAATCTCCATGTCTGCTTCCATTTAGAAGTAAAGATTAGGAACCTTGAACCGCAATGTATACGATCAACCAGCTTGTTAAGGTTTATCGAAAATGGGCGTGCAAAGTGATCCACTTTCATGTTTTTGCCATAATCATCCACCCTAAGCAATAAGATGTCTGAATATTCAGGTGTAAGGTCAACAGAATCAGAGCATCTACGTAGCCAGAAACCCTTCTGTAGGTGAAAGACCCCATGAATGTCTGCCCCAGTTTGATGTTCTGACACGGTGAATACAATGATATATCCAAACTTGGAACCCATATCTGGGTAGTGCTTCATTGTTTCTATCACCCTTTTCCTATCTCTTCCACTGATTTTAATACACATGATATCTCCTCTGTTTATACATCTTAAGATCTGACTAACAGCTAAATCAACTGCCAAGTCAAATATTTCTTTTGGTACATGTAGTGTTTCTTTGGCTGACAACTCAATGTCTTGTACCTGATTTTTACATCTTGCGGGCACTGGCTTCAATTCATTTTCAGCTTCCATTGCTGCCCCTTCATTGTGACTTGGTGAACCTCTAGATTTTGAAGTCTATCCGCTGCATATATTTTGTTCCACTTGCATCAGGGGTCTCAAAGCAGCTTCTGTTGGCCTATACAGCTTCTCAACTATGTCTCCTGGTAAAACTTCCTCAATATCATTCTTCAAGGGAACATGTAGCAGCTTCTGCAAGCATGCAGAAAATTTCTGTAGCCCCATCATTAATGACTGATCTTCCGCTACCTCCTTTCCACATAAAAACTTTTCTATTGATTTTGCATATCTCATGATTCCCAAGACTTTGGTAATCCATTTCTCTGAGTTAAATTTGTCAGGCATAACCATAGGATAAGAAGAGAGCAGGAGTCGCACATCCGTCTTCCTGTTCAGCGCCTCGCACTTCTTCCTCAATACATTTTCATAAAAGTCTCTCCACATCGGATATGACTCAAATGATTCCTCAGGAAACGCATTCAGGTCGAGCACTAAATTTGGAAGCTCATTGTATACACTTGCCTGAAGATTAGACTTTGAATGTTTGTCATTTCCATCGACGCCACATACAGGCAAATATTGAAATATACGGTGAAAAGCACTTATTTCACTAGAATGTCAGTATCTAAATTAATTTAATTTATCTATAAAAAAGACCCTAATCGAAATGGGAAATGATAAAAGAGTAGGCTCTGTACAGCTAGTATATCGGGTGGTGTTGGAGGCATCACATCGGGGGCTAGAATGCAAGTGTGCCTGCCGGAGTAAGTAACGCTGAAGATCATTGGATTTTCACCTGCTCTTTGGGCATGCTTTGCAGCCAAACAGCCTTGGGTAAATAGATTTGCGCACCAGTAGTACACTCTGTAAGAAAGAGAAGAGAGGTTATTTCATGTTTTAAGCTCAGTGAAACTTGAAAATCCTTTCATCAAAACAAAATTAGACACACGAAATACATCTACATGACATGTCTTTGGGACGTGAACTCTTAAGGAATTGGGAGTAATTATCAAATATCCACAAATGTCTAGGCGGTTATTCTATATTAAATCATGCCATAGGTTAGGCATCAGGGTCCGCACTAACTTGCAGTCAGCAATGCTCGTATTGATAAAAAGATCTTATGTATGGGATCTATTTAAAAAAAGAACTCCATTATGAAACTGCAGCTTAAGAGTTCATTTTAAATCTGTCCATGAGTTGGTTTTTGAGCGGCCTAAATTGATTCTTTGTGATAATATTTAAGTAATTTGTTTTTATATTTTATATAGAAATTGAAAGGTTTAATATCCAAAACTTTGTACTGCTTAATAAGAATTCATATCATACTTTTTATACTTTTTTTATTATAATTATTTTCTTTTTGAAGTTCACTTAAACTATAGTAATTATTTAAGTTTTATTACTACGACAACATTTTGAAATTGTTCATTATCTTATAACTTATTGAAATAATTAAATATTATTTAATAAGAAATATTTGCATAAAACATGTGTCAATATTCACATAAAAAATTCAAAAAAAAATTATAGTCACATAAAAAAAATGTGTTGATGAAAATAATACGTTTAAAACCTCTTGTTTGAAAGTAACGTAGTAGATATACTAGCTAAATCCAGCTGATAGCAAGATATATACAGATTATTTACTGGAGTGTTGGGCGGCTGAAGGATTTCTTGGCAACATTGATGACAGGAGGAGTCTTCAGGATGCAAGAGACAAAGGATATGACATATTGGGACATCTGACCAATGTGTCATTGCTAGAGAAAGGTGAAAGAATGATTTATGTTCAAGTGAACAATAGTGTCAGACAATTTGCCTTGTACATTTCCTCACAAGACCCTGATTGCAAATTTTTTGCTCCAAAAGGTGAAACTTCACCTTATACCCAAAGACTGAAAGAGTGGCAACAGGCAAAAAGGATCTCTATGATTGAAGGAAAACTGCATGACTTGCCAGAAAGTCCACACTGCAACAAACTTTTGTCTCTGTTACTACAGAAAAACCCCGATTTGGTCACAATTCCACCATTATTTTTTAAGAACATGCAGAAGCTCCTAGTTTTGGACTTGTACCAAACAGGCATTGCATCACTACCGTCATCTGTATCAAAGTTGATTAGACTTGAGGCACTTTTCTTAAATGGTTGCCCCAACGTAACAAAGTTGCCTCCCCAAGTTGCAGAACTTCATTTTCTTGAGGTGCTTGACATTAGAGGCTGCAAGATAACATTCATACCTCCTCTTATTGGAAAATTAGTTCACCTGAGGTGCTTGCGGATGTCATATCGTATGTGCAGCGATACAGAAGACTCTCGTGATAAGGAAATTGATTACAAGATGATTTCAAGTCTTTCAAGATTGGAGGAACTGATGATTGATGTGACCTCCTATGGCCATTGGTGCATTGTTGCAAAAAGAGTCATTCAGGAGGTGGCTTTCTTGAAGAATTTAACTACTCTTAGAATAAGCTTTCCGCGACCAGAGACCCTCAAAATGTTAATTGAAAACAGGCCATCATGGAGGG